AATAATTTGTATAATAACGTAATGATTATTTAAATAAAATAAAAACAAACAAAACTGATTAACAATAATATTACGTTTATTTAGAAAAATAAACAAAATAAAAATATTACTAACAACTGTGAAAAGAAGAGTTAAAGTTAGAAGGTAAGAAAAGATCTGAATTCTTGATCACTTTTAATCTCACACATATCCACAAAATTTCATTTGACACAAGAATTGATCTGGTACATCTTGATGCATCTCATCCTAAATGCATCAAATGTTGGATATCATTTCTTACCTTTTTCATCTTGGATAGGATATATCTACCACTAATATTTCATTTCCAAAATTAGTAATCCCCAAAAACATTTCAATACAATTGGCTTCATTTCAATTCTTGTTTTCATCCTTCATCTCAATTAGGGACAAAAACAGATAAACCGAACAGATAAAACGAACAGATAAATCAAGTTTTGTGGGATCAACTTCTCATTTCTTCTCATGTGTTTCCTCAAGTAAGTCGTTTTTCCTTCTCGATTTCATTAATTCTACAACATCTACGTTGGTTTACGCTATTTTGGCAGTTTTTAAACCGAAAATGACGTCAAATAATAGAGCGAGATAATCATATACAAGAATAACATAGGGAAAACAAATGGTGAATTTGCGTTCGTTGCTTGATTATGGCTAATCTTAAGGTTTTCAATTTAGATTCATCATGGTGGGAAAGAGGAATAAGAACGATCGAGACAAAGTAAGCCACACGTAAGAAACTAGTCTGTTTGATTAGTTTTCTAAAATAATTCATTTTTCCCGTCTCCCATCTTTTATTCTGATCGTCGAACGCCTTATGATATATAGTATTCTTGGTTGCACTTTTACGAAAGCATGTGTACAAACACGTAAACGAAAAATTATGTATAATCCCCCGATCCACATTGATTCTTTTTTCACATTTTCAGGTAGTTGTAGCAGAATATAAAATTTCAATGCACTGCGACGACTGTGAAAATTTGGTCGCAAGAACAATTTCAAAAATCAAAGGTATATTTTTGCTTAATTAATCTACTCAGTACAACAAAATTAGGTTTATAAAACGGCTAAATGTCTAAGTGACATAAGAGACTGCTTTATAAAACTTGAGTTTATGGGACCAAACAATTGTTTGTCCTATTTAAAAGTGTTATGATAAGCTTGTAAAATGTTTTTGGATGTTTTAACAAGTTTTTAAGACACTTCTAGAATAAAGTCTAGTATTAGCTTTTTTGAGTGTTCATGAACACATCTTTTTATAAGACACTTGTTTTTATCATACATTTATCGAATAATGTGATATATAAAAAATTAATATATATGACATTTAATTTCAAAAGTTAACTAGGAACTTGTTAAAACGCACAACTTCCTATATTGCAACTTTTTTATATTTAGCGTGTACAATTATTTGTTCCTATAAACTTTAGTCCTGTAAAATAGTATATTATGACAATCACACATTTTTTGCATCATATAAACCCTATTTTCTTGTAGTGGCCACCTCAAGTGGAGTTTTGATATCATGAAACTGAAAATTGAACGGTTTGAATTAAGGGGTCGAGAAGTTCACAACAGATATCGTAAATCATGAAGTTATGATAATGGGGAAGATCGATCCGGCCAAAGTTTTGAAGAAATTGCAGAAGACGGGAAAGACGGTAGAAATGATTTTGGCGTATAAATTTGAGAATATTTCAAATGACGATGAAGAACATAAATTAGAAGCATTTCAGCAACCAGATGTAGATCCATTGATATCTGATACTTTGGGTGAAACTCCTATGTATACAATATTTAGTGACGAGAATCCTAATGCTTGTTCAGTTATGTAAACTTATTATGAGCTCGTATCGGCCCCAATTACCCCCAAACATTTCAGTAAACAATTAGTTTTCATAATTTTCTTCACGAGTCCGTTCACCGACCCCCCCCAAATTGCAAAGACCTGTGTTTTTGGCAAACCTATTTTTTTTCTCATGAGTTGCCTTTGGCCTTCTTCATATTCCAAGCATCTAACTTTGGAATAACAACATCAAGACTTCCATTGTTAAAAGCATAGATATGGGCTTCTTTATGCTCGAGAAATCGCGGGTAAACTCTGCCGTAATGCATGCTCTGCCTTCGCCTCCGAAACTCTCAATCACCGAATGATCTATCTGAAAAGCGCAAATATAACAAGAATTAGAAAAACTCGTACGTAACTTTGAAAGTAATATAATCTGCAAGAAGTCAAACATATAAGGATTTCATACCAAGCTCCCAAGTGAAATCATTTTGTCGTTACGATCTATGTGGATAAAAGCTCCGTATATAGTTTTATCGATACCTTGTCTCAAGGATGACATGCAAAGGTTTAAATCACGAACATTGAACCGAAAAGACACTACAACAAATTGGGTTTATAAGACACCGTTAATAAGCGTCCCAATAGACCGCTTTATATGAATTAATTTATAGGACCAAAATATAAAACGTCTCATCCAAAGGTGTTGTAATAAGTTTATACGACGCCTTTGGGCGTCTTAACAAGTTTTTGAAGACATTTTTAATACAAAATGTCGCATTAGCAACTTTATAGAATACTTTTGAGAAAATGTCCTATAAACTCAATTTTTATAGGACATTTATTTTTATAGGACAATTTTTCAAATAGTGTCCCATATAGTTGCTAACAAGACGCTTTATATTAATAGTGTCGTAAAAACTTATTACGACGTTAAAAAAGGTCATATAAACTTATTACAACACTTTTAGATATGACATTTTATTTTTTTGGTCCTATAAACTAAATCCTATAAAGAGTTCTATTAGGACACTTAGAATTTAGAATGTCTTATAAACCCAATTTTGGAGTCATCTAAATCCGGTTTTTTTGTAGTGGCTCCCTTGAAGGAAGTAAACATTGAACCAATTAAGATTGCAGGTCTTAATATTGATCAATATGAGAGTATGAGAATTGAATGAACCTGCTTTGATCACTACACATTAGAACAACAAATTGATCGTTGTCTTTGAATATACGAAAGAAGACTGCGGTTTGTTCAGCCAAATTTTCAGAAGCCATAACCAATAAGCCAAATGGTCCAGCTCGACCACCGACCGTTGCTGTCTTTGCGCTACAAAGAAGTTGAGGATCGTTCCAATTGGGGTCCAAAACCTCGACCTCTTCTAGTTTCGGGAGCATAAAGGAGACTTCTATGTCAACCTAGTTAGGCACGATGAAATCGATCAATGCATCAAGGGCTAAGAAAACCGATATCTTCAGTACAACAAAACGGGTCATTTAATTTAGGACCGTGGTTTTTGGTCCTATAAATGTTTTGAGTTTTGTACTACAACAAAATGGGTCTGCGGGTATGGGTCAAACGTTGACTTTAACCAATTCACCACTTATCAGCAGCGGAATATTCCGTCTTTAAAAGTCCTCTGTTTAGTAGTGTATATCGTGATGATCAATAATGGTTGGGGCATCGTAAAAGACCCATTTTGTTGTAGTGTTTGAGAGTTGAAATTGGTGGCTGAGAGAAGTACCTGTGAGGCTGTGATGCCTGAAACTTCAAATAATGATTCTCCTTTAAGGTTCTTGCTAGAATAAGTAACATGATGCTTCTTATCGCGCAATTGTTCGGTTTCCTTAACGGGCCATCGTATCAGTCGCTTTCGTGTCGTACTAAGATAGATTTGTCGAGGGATAGACTGCAAATCCCATCAAAACGAGTCAATAGTACGTCACTGTAACAAATCGGTTTTATAATAAGACAAATATGTCTAAATGTTTTAATAGACCATTTTATAGGACTTAAGTATACACATAAAAACAATTGTGTTGCGTGAATAATATGTGAAATCTCATTGGATTGCTTTACACAAAAGTCCTTGAGAAGAGAAGGGGATTTCAATATATATACAAAGGCCTAATCAAATGAGAATTAATTAGTTTGTGGTAACCGTGATATCCAATATGATCCAATCGTTTTATGATATTAATTGTATTACCTTATTAATAGGTAAAGGGCATTTTAGTAAAATGATTAATTATAATTTAAATGTTTTTTCTTATTTAATAGTTATCAAATTTGGTTTACTTAATTATCTCAACAAAATTGTATCATAGTCGTGTATCACATTGTGGTTGTGTGTGGCCTAAAACTTAGATCACATCTATTATCAACCATGTTCAAAACGTTATCTCAGTGGTATCACAATGTGTAACACAATTGGTTTTGTGTCTTATTGTTATAAATTCTTGGGTATCACAGTATATATCATATTTGTTTTGTGTTTTACTGTTAGAAATTATTGGTCGCAGAGAGAGGGGGAGAGAGCAGAGAGATTTTTAAAAGACTAATTTGCCCCTATATATTATCAGTAACTTTAAGTTATTTGAAAATTAATGAATAATTACCAAAATTAATATGTTTAATTATAACGATTGATTATTAATAATGTGTGATTGAGATTGAATCTCACAGTTATCACAAACAATCGAGTTCTCTCTTGATTGGACCCATATATATATATATATATATATATATATATATATATATATATATATATATATATA